AACTCTCCCTCTCTCCTCCTCCTCCTCCTCCTCCTCCTCCTCCTCCTCCTCCTCCTCCTCCTCTCTTCCCTTCTCTTCTCTTCTCTTCTCTTCTCTTCTCTCCTCTCCTCTCCTCTCCTCTCCTCTCCTCTCCTCTCCTGTACTTTCGGTTTCAGTGTGCCTCTTGCTTCTTGGCCAAATTAGGGATCACAGAGAGGAAGTCCCACCACCTCCCACTGTCAGTCACAAACATCTCCCTGCATCTGCTTCTGTTGTAATCTTTCCTCTTGTTAAAGCAGAGCAACAGTTTCTCCTTCTGTCCTTCTTTCTGGACTTTGTTTTTCATCAACTCTTTCTCAGAAACTTTTATTTTTTACTGTGCTGTGCTCCCTCTCAACAGATCCAAACATTGTAAAACTTTTCGTATTAAAAACATTCCCCTTCAAATGAACGCAAAACCATTTCCCTGCCCCCTATGTTCTCATTAAGGTCCTCCCTTCCCATCACAGCCAAACCCTGTGCAAGAGTTGTCTGTATTTGCTGTCTCCATTTCCTCTCCGTCTCCACCCTCCACAGAAGTAGCACTTGCTAATGCCACCCATGAACTTAACGTTGCTGAGTCTAGTGGTCACCTCCGTTCAGCTTCTTCCTTAATGTTTCATCAACACTTAAACCCATCAGGCATGCTTTGTTTGAAATATGTTCTGTCTGCCTCTTTGATCCCATTCTCCTGGTTTTTCTCCTTCCCTTTTTTGCTTCCTTATAGTCTTACCCTCTGTGACTTGAGTTTTTGGAGAATCTCCTGTGCACCAGGAGCTGTGCTACGCTTCAGGACCGAATGTTCCAACGCTGAGGGCTTGATTCGTGTTTATGAATAGGAACAGTTTGATTAGAATAATAGAGTTGTGCTGGTGTCAGTTTGTGTTTAGAAAATATTTCCTAGAGCAAGCACCATTAAGACAATTCAATTGCTCTATCAGTTTTTCTGTGCAGTGCAATTTAACTCTTTCTATTTTCTTGT